CCTTCCTTCCTTCCTTCCTTCCTTCCTTCCTTCCTTCCTTCCTTCCTCCCTCCCTCCCTCCCTCCCTCCCTACCATCCATTGTATGAGATGGCTCCAGCTAAAATTTGAACAGCCACATTCAATATAGCTAGGACAACATGAACATCATGAAAACTATAGTTACCAGAATTCACAGCTTAAATTGATGTTTAGAAGTATTCTGATATTGTCTTCTTTCTCAAAAGCAAAATAAATGGTTCAGCTCATGGCTTAGAATGCATACTTCTTCCAAACAAATATGGTTTATCTTAACTGGCTACATGTCATCAGAACTTTGGCTTTTAATTATACTGTTTCACCATTTAAATCCTTATGAGACTTACCTGTGAATGATTGAGTTCAAGGTTCATAAATCAGAATCAGGAATAAAAACTAAACCCAGAGTCAGGAAGCTGTGGCTTTCAAGATGTATGTAGCTAATCTACAACTGACAACTCCATTCTACTTAAGTTACGCTAGCTGGGGTTGCTAGAATTGTGGTTCACAATATTTAAACAGTTTCTCACCTACCCCTACTAAACTCTAGATAATTTTAATCTGGTTTGTTTCCTAAACTCTCCCAAACAAGCCAGAAATTAGAGTAAAAACAAACCAGCAAGCAAAATAAATTTATTTTAATTTCACATGGTACAGCACAGCATTTATTCTTTAATACATGTGTTTAGGATATTGTTCATCTTAATTACTGAAAATTTATTTACACAAATAAAACATTATTTAAAGAATTTTGCAAAGCTAAAACTTTGCAAATTTTTAAATCTGAGCTGATACAATAGTTATTTCAATAGTTAAAAGCAGAAACAAAAATAATTCCTTCTGTCTGTTTACCCGCATCTTCATTGATGACCAACCTCAGAAGCCTTCTGTCTTATTACTGATCCTATGAACATAAAGTATGTTACTACTTCTTCTTCTCCACTTGTTTATATCAGAGTGGCATACCTATTAATATAATCTTAGGTTTCCTATGTAAATTATTGACTAGCAGTTCACTTTTTGCATTTTCTTTTTCATCTTCAACAAGAGATTCCTTAGGCTTCTCTCATTTCCAGCCATCAAATTGGTATCACCAGCATAAATGAAGTTGTTGGCGTTTCTGTAAGCAAATTTCACACCAATTTGTAGTCCTTCTAGTCCAACTTTTTTCATGATATAGTCTTCATGAAAAGTTAAGTAAATAAGGTGACAGTATACAACCTTGGAATATTTCTTGCCCAATTCTGAAACATTTAGTTGCTCCATATTCTGTTCCGTTGCTTCTTGATCAATAGGTGAATGGTTCAATAAGTAGATGAGGTGACCCCAGCACTCTCATATTTTTAAGAGCCATCTACAATTTGTGGATAGCATTGTCAAAAGCATTCATATAATTAATAGAGGGGGAAAAAGCTTTTGGAAGGTCCTTGGCTTTTCTATTATGCACCAGATGTTTGAAAACTTGGGAGCCTCTGCATCTTCTAAATCTAGTTTATATACTTGATTTATATACTTTACAGTTTGATTCCATGTAGTGTTGTAATCTGGATTTCAAAATTTCAAGCATTATTTTACCAGCATCTGAATTAAGAAAGCCAAGTGCCTCACACATCGGATCCATGAAACGGATGACTATATTTCTGTGCCATGCATGGAACTATATCCACTCACCCAGAAAAAAGACAAAAAATAACTGGATTGATGATAATCCTTGAGCAGAAGGTGGAAATCAACAAACTTAGTTTTTTCCCAGTGTTCAGTGACTGTCACACACATTATGGTAATAATTTTGTGAATAGCCAGCAATCATCATTTGCAAGGGTATATACAAAATATTATCAACTTTTAAAATTTCAACTTGTCTAAAAATCCTTTACCATGAAAGGCATAAAAAAGAATTTGAATGCATGTGTTTTAATTTATCACAATAGGCAAATTAATCAATTCTAGATTAATGCCAGGAGGCTTTTTGCTCTGAAAAAGTTTTATAACATTGAACATGTTAGTCTGTCCTCATTACTATTTCTTACTGCCATGCAGTCATAATTTTGTTCCTATCAATTATCACTAAAAGAGATGAACAAGATGCTGTTTCTAATTTTTCCAAGACAAAGAAAACTGATGATTTTTTTTAAAAAAGAGAGTTTGATGTCCCTCCACTGTTCAATATCCAAAATAGAACAAGATCTGACAGTTTGCATTTGACAATTCATAGTAAGGATGAAACCAGTCACATGCTGCCTCTTAGTGTGTGACAGTATGAATATAATAACTAACTGCTTTCTTTTAAAACAGTTGTGACTCTTTAGATCAGTGATCCCCAACCTTTTTTATGCCGCGGCCCGGTACCGGCATCAGCTGGGCGCCACCATCTTTTTTTTGATGAAAAAGTGCTTCCGGTGACCTCACTGGAAGCACTTTTTCATCAAAAAAGATGGCGGCGCCAGCGCTTCCGGTGAGCTTTTCCGGGTAGAAATGGCTTTCTACCCGGAAAAGCTCACCGGAAGCACTTTTTTATCAAAAAAAGGGCGGCGCCCAGCAATCAGCGGCCCGGTAAGACTTGTTCCGCGGACCGGTCTCGGTCCGCGGACCGGTGGTTGGGGACCCCTGCTTTAGATAACAAGATTGCACTTTTCAGTTACCACATTTTCCCATAAAAACCAGCTACTTTCATGGTTTCTAATGGTGCTTGTTTCTCCTGCAGGTTTCAAAACCATCCTCTTGTAATGTAATTGGAAACATTATTATTTAGTTAAGAGGTTCCAGTATCTCTCTAGTAATCTGAGCCTCCTTCAATTAAAGTAGGCAACTACTCTAGAAGGTATAATATGATGAGTAGAGTAAGAATGATGGATAATAGAAAAGAAAATAGCAACAGCACTTAGACTTATACTGCTCCATAGTGCTTTATAGCACTCTCTCTTTACAAATGTCAGCATATTGTCCCCAACAATCTGGGTCCTCATTTTACTAACTTTGGAAGTTGGAAGGCTGAGTCTACCTTAAGATGGTCAGGATCAAACTCCTGGCACTGACAGAGTTAGCCTGCAGTATTACATTCTAATCACTGTGCCACCACAGTTTCTAACATACAATACCATCAAAGAGTAGCAAGTAAGCTCAAAAATATTAAGAGAGCCCAGTTAGTCTAATAGTTATGGCACCAGACTAGAAAGTGGGGGAGTGTAAGTTCAAGTCCCATCCCAGACACGAAAACCAGCTGGGTGACCTTGAGCCAGTCACTTTCTGTCAGCCAACCTAGCTCCTAGGTTGTTGGGGGTAAAATAGGAGGAGAAATTTGTTGGGACATATTCACCTCAAGATATTTGTAAAAATAATAAAGGTGGGATAAGGTAACGGTTCCCCTCGCACCTACGTGCTAGTTGTTTCCAGCTCTAGGGGACAGTGCTCCTCTCTGTTACAAAGCTGAAGAGCCAGCACTATCCGGAGACGTCTCCATGGTCACGTGGCCGGCATGACTAAACGCCGAAGGCACACGGAATGCTGTTGCCTTCCCACCAAAGTGGTCCCTATTTTTCTACTTGCATTTCTACATACTTTCAAACTGCTAGGTTGGCAGAAGCTGGGACAAGTAACAGGAGCTCACTTCATTACGCAGTGCTAGGGATTAGAACCACCGAACTGACAACATTTCTCATTGACAAGCTCTACATCTTAGCCACTGAGCCACTGCATTCTTAAAGGTGGGGTAGATACAAATAAATAAATAAAAATTGAAGTAAATTATTAAGAAGCTTGAAAAAAAGTAGAACAAGAGAAGCCCCTTTCACAGGAGAAGGGAAGTTCTGAGAAACTGCAAAATAAATTTTAGCACAGCATTACTAATGTCAGGATTTCAGCATTATCATGCAAACCTACCCTAAATTGATGCGTTCCACATTTTGGGAGATCTGCGATGGGATGGTAGTAAGATACCGGAAGGTGCAGTGGACTTCAGTCGGTACATAGCAGGCACAAAACTTAGGACAGGCACTACTGCCAGGAAAGACAGCCAAGAGGAACCCAAAGAGGACTCCTACTGCATAGGGATGGTTTCCTCTTCTCTTCATCTTGTGTGACAAAAGTTTTAAACCGACCATCCTTCCAGTCAAGTGTGAACAAAGAATACTCTAGAAAATAACACAACAGAAAACATCAAGAGCTTGTGACTGTGAGCAGGCTGCTTGGACTTAGTTTTTTATTAGCAGTTCTACAGAAAAGCTACAACACATTTAACCTTCAGCCTTCAGATGTTTTGGATTGCAACTGTTCCCATTCCCAGCCAGAATGGGGATTACCATCTGGACAAATGGGGAGGTTCAGTCCAACACACCTAAAGAACAGCAGATTGGAGAAGGCTGCCATAAGGGTTACTTCTACAAGGTAAAAAAAAAACCCAGCAGTTTAAATACCCATAAGCATTAGTCTTCAATGATGATGGTAATTGGAAACCAAGCAGAGGTGGTATTCAACAGGTTGGACCAGTTCTGGAGAACCGGTAGCAGAAATTTTGAGTAGTTCAGAGAACAGGCAAACACCATCTCTGACTGGCCCTGCCCCCATTGATTCTCTGCCTCCCAAGTCCCAGCTGATCAGCTGAGTCTTCTTTTGTTGCCCTGCATGGGAGAACGAAGCTGGAAAGCAGGTTAGTGGGGTGGGGAGGGAATGGGATTTTGCAGTAACCTTCCCCCAGGAGTGGGGAGGGAATGGAGATTTTACAATATCCCTCCCCTGCCACACCCATAAAACCATGCCCACAAAACCAGCACTTCGCCCACAACTGGCACTTCGCCCACAACCGGACTTCTGGTTTGAAGGGCTTCGGCGACAGACAGAAATCCACGATTGTGCACAGTTTCTGTCTGGGCTTGCCGCTGGAGCACCCCAAGCTGGCTGGTTTAGGGGCTAAGCCACCCCGTAGAGGTGGTGAAGAGGGGGGAGATCGCCAGCAGGGTCGAGGAGAGCCGCGTCTCTCCTCCTCAGCTGGCCATTACTCCCTTTCCCGAAGGCAGTTGCAGCGGTGGTCAGAAATGGCCACCACAAAGAAGAACTCAACCGGAAAAGAATGTGCAGGAGGAAGATAAGAAGTGAAAGTTTTGGCTGACCGGGTTAAATTGTAAAAGCAACAACCAAGGTACCCTGGAATTTAAACTTACAAAAAATAACATCACTCCCAAAGAAGTCGGAAGCAGCGAAGGAAAGTGAAAAGGGAAAGGTTTGGCTTTTTTTTCTTTCTTATCTCTCCTTCCCTATACTGACAACTAAGAGACTTAAATAAGAAATCAAAAAAATCCACTTTGACATCAATAGGCAATTAAGCTGAAAATAAAACAAAATGCCAAAGGGATAATAAAGATTTCTGGACATTAATTTTTTTTTTCATAAGCAGGAAGGGAGAGAAAAAAATAAGGGCAGGATCTGGAAGAGGGAGGAGACTGCCTGGAATTAAAAAGAATCTACAGTAAAACTTCAACAAGACTTCTAAAAGATACATTTTAACTAAAACTTTGCAACTAAATAGTAACCCCAGGAAGAGAAAGTGAAAACAAAAGAGCAAAAAAGAAACAGCTTGCGTGTATTTGGATTATTTGGTGATCTTTGGATTTTTGGTTATTATATTTGAATGACTAAAATCAATTGGTTGGTTGTTTAAAAATTTATACAATGGCACCACTTCTGGATGAATTGAAAATGGAACTTAAAAAGTACAAAGAAGATGCACAAGAAGGGAAGGGTTCTTTTGGCTTCGTCTTTCAATTCTTAGAAATGGAGATTTGGAACTATGAGAAACAACAAGAAAAGACTGCAAAACAAGAAGACTGGGACAAAGAAGAAGCCATCTTTAATGAACAAGTAATTTTATGTGGGGAAGAAAAAGGAAAGGGGGGAAAGAGAATGGAGAATTTAAGACTTAAAAAAACAACCAAAGAAAAGAAAAATAATTCAAAAAAATAAGTATAATACTGGAAAGCAACAGAAAAGGGGAATACAGAAGAGAGAAATAGAGGTAGAGAGACAAGGGGGTAAAAAGGGGAGAGAGAAGAAGAGAGGGAAGAAGGGAAGGAAAAGAAGTTACAAAGGACCGGAGCAAGATATAGAAAAACAGGACCTATTTAGAGATAATGGGTGAAAATCTAACTGAAAAAGGGATTCTGTAAAGGTACATAAGATTGTATTGTTATATTAGTAATAGAAATAACTAGAAAATTGGAAACAACGTATGATTAAAATGAGGGATAAAATAGTTAGTGTAATTTAGTGAAATGTTTGTGAATAAAATAAGTGAAATAAAATAAATGAGAAAATTGAATTAGGAAGGAACGGGAACATTTTAATTAGTTAATGTTTTATAAAATATAAGTGAAGGGGGGGAATTAACTATGGAAAGCTTATAATTGTTCCCATAAAAGTATGATATTTAATTGAAAAGTAATGTTAAAGATGTTAAGACTTTAATGAATATTAATATTAATGATAGAATTGAATTGGAATGGAATGTTGTTTTAATTATATACATTTATAATTTTTTTCTTTTTTTAAGAATACAGTGTGTATTTTAAGAATGCACCAAGCAGAATCCGAATGGAAGTTATGTATTATATTGAATGTTACAACTTTAGGGAAAAGATATAAAGGCGTCATACTCCAATCAGTAACTACAGGAGAAATTTTGTTTAATGAGAAAAGATAATAGATAATTGAAACAGGACAAAAAATATAAATGATTTGAATTGAGATGAGATAATTAAAATAAAATTGAGAAAATTAAAAGAGGGGAGAAGCTATGCAGAAAATGTAAAATAGTAATAAGATATGGAATAGAATATAAAAATGAGCATGAACCTGAATTTGTGTTGGTACGAAGAAATGTAACCCGGGATTATGCTGCTTTCAAAAAAAATGTTTTATTCATATATTTTTTTCTCTTTGTGAAAACTCAAATAAAATTTACAAAAAACAAACAAACACGCCCACAAAACTGGTAGTAAAATTTTTTCAATCCCACCACTGAACCCAAGTAAGTGATATCGTTCCAAAGCATGTCACATGACCATATTGCTTAGTGATGGCAATTCCAACAGTCCTTAGGCAAGGACTCATCCCAATCCAAGCCATTTCCAGCTTGGTCTCTCCCAGCCCTAAGCCTCACAAAAGATTCCTCTTCAACCCATCTGCCCCTTTGGCCATCCTGTGCTTCGCTTGTCCTTCTGCCCTTGATCTACTCTCCTTGCCACTCCGAACTCTCTATGACCCTGCAGGTCGTACATAACTTAGACAAGGCCTCATGTGGCCTTGGGAAAAAGGACTGGCATGGCCAATCAGCTGCCTCACTAAGCATCAGGCCAGGTATAAGCAGTTTGAGAAAGAAGATGGTGAAGATGTTGGGAACTGCAAGTGGAGTGTAGGGCCAAAAGAGGGCAAGGCAGCAGGTTGAATGGAGCATAAGGAAGCTACAGTGCAGAGTGCAGAGTGGCCAAAGGAGGGAAAATGGGGGAGGAGATAGGTGGATGGGGGAAAGCGCCCTTGCACCCAATAATAAGCACAGGTGGGCTGCCAAGCACACAGGCTTTGACCATTTAGCCAAGGAGGTGCTACAATTACTATATCTTTGGGGACCAGGGATAAATACTGTTTGTTCAGTTCAGTAAATTTGAATGGTGGCTGAAGGAATCGTCATTAACCAAGGACCACTTATACTTCCACTTTCCTTTAAACATTCGTAGCAAGGTTTTTGCTTTTAGTGAATATGTAGCAGGGAATAGAAGAATAATATTAAATATCTGGAATAGCATTAAATAGTATTAAAAATAGTATTAAATATCGGGAATAGTATTAAAATCTGGAATTTGACATACTACTAAAACTGGAATTTGAACATTCTGCTTGATGAACCAGTTTTATTTTTAAAGTAATCATAAATCTGCATGCGATTTGTTTTTTTTGCTGACAAATACATCAATCTTTCCAAGAAAATTAAGCCTCAAAGAATTAGGAGTTTAAGAAGAGAACTGTCCTGGTGAAGAAGCAACAGCAACAGTAAAAACAGTGAAACATACTTTCCTCCACCTTTATAGGGAACGAAAGCTATGCCTCATCTTGTCCCTGACAACTTCTGTTTCATTCTGGTTTGTCTTTTTTGTTTTTATAATGCTACTTAAGTAGATTAGAATTAGTTTAATGGAAAATAAGAGTGCAATAAACTATTATATTGAAAATCTCCATGTTCTGTTTGGATGAGTTATTTTCTTGATACAAGTATTTTAAAAACTAGACCTTGCAATTCTATGACATCAAAGAGCTTAATGTCATTCTGGGGCCATTTGTGCCTTAATCAAACAGAACAGGCAGATTAAGAATCTTAGCCTTCATTTCTTTAGAATGTTTGCTTTGTTGATTTCCCTCTTACTAATGTCAGTGAGATGTATTTATTAAAACAATAACTTAATTTCTTAAAAAAATGTAAATGCACCTTCAGTTCCAGGTACAATAATGTGCAAGGTGCAGAAGCTGTGGTTTCTTCCTTCCTTCCAAACTATAGGATTGAGGGGTCCTTGGTGCTCTCTGAGTGTGCTTGTTTTCTTGCAGATGTTTCATTACCCTAACTAGGTAACATCATCAGCGCTAGTAAGGAGTGATGTTTGCTGTAGGATTATAGGATTCTTTTCCTAATAGTATTTTGAAACTTAAATTAGTTAAAATAGTAAAAAAAAAACTGGATTTCCCATCAAGATCCTGAATAGGAGCTTTCAAATTCTTGGTAGTTCTTATTTAAGAGTTATATGAGCCTGGAATGATGTAGGATTAGAATGTTGGTGTAGTTGTAAAAGAACAGACCTCTGGTCCCTTTTGAAGTCTCTGGATTGACTGGGCTGTCATGAAAAGGAATGTTTATTTCACTCCAAGTTATTTGGAAAAGTGGTACTAAATAAATAAAAGTTCTAATAATTATTTTTAGCCTCAATTTTTCTTTCCCAACCTAAAACCTTAGATACCATATCATGAAATACAGAAGTTATTTAAATTGGCGATTCCCTGATTTCCATGTCTTGTATTATAAAGCACTCATTTGATGTCATATTTGTCGTTAATAGATGACAAATCTTTTTACAAATGACCAGCATGTGTGAATATTTTAAATTCATTCTTAATTTATCCCCCCCCCCTTCATTTATCAGGACTGTCACACAGCACAGCTGAGATTGGTTCCACAAAAGATGGTTTTAGGGGATGAAAAATGAAAGATAAATAGATATCCTTTGATAGATAAATAGATATCAGATATCCTTTGATAGATAAATAGATATCAGATACCCTTTGAAGTTACTGTAGAGTTGTTTAGACATTGCTCTTCTGTCCACTTGGATCTTTGGAGAGATCTATATTTTTAAAAAAAATGCAACAAGCCATAACGAAATAAAGATCCTCCCTTGAAGAAATCCAGAGAAGTCCAAATTTAATTTTAAAAAAGGTTCTGTGCAGGGTATTTTGTTTTTAAAGTTCTTGTCAACTCATTTCAATGAATCTGACGCCTGCCAAGACATTACAGCAATGTAGTTAAGCTCCTTACTGACAAGAATTAAAGTCTGCATTGTAAAAAATAGGCTTGCGGTTGACACCGGGAAATGCCTCATTCATGTCAGCTCAGAAATAGTTTTCATTCTCTTGCAACCAAACCAACGGAGTCTCTGCAATATCTTGAAAAACCGAATGTTATACATTTATTACTATGGCATATCTTCACGGATTGGCGCCTACCACAGACGGAGCAAAGAATCAGGTGGCATTTTGCAAAGCAGGTAGTTTTCATTTTTTAAACAGTCCTCAAACCAAGATTGGGCTGGCGAGAGGGAGGAAAAAAAGACAGAAAGAGGGCTTTCCAACACATCGTTCCAGGAAATTAAAAGAAATAAAAGGTAAAAACGTACCTGAATCTTATTACTTTTCCTCTCTAGCTGGATCCGCGTGAACGTCTCCTTACACTCCTAGGTGTCACACATCAATAGCCGAGCTTGCATGGAGGACCCGAAAGATGCGCGGCATGTGAGGGAGCCGCTGCACGGGGCATGGGTGGATCCCAGTTTGGGAGGATCAAAACACGCCCCTCGGATCCGGAGCAGGCGGGGTGGGGAGCCGAAGTCTCCACGCGTGCTCTCCTTCTAACGCCGCTTCAGTTCTCTTGCCCGGTCGCCTTTCGTGGGAAGCTTTCCGGCTTCCCCGGATCGCCCAGCGTTTCAGAAAGTCTTAACCGGGGGTGGAAGTCGCACCGACGACCCCTTCACTTCCCTTAGACATCCGCTTGGTCTCTTGAGTTTGGTTAGACGCGCTTTTCCAACTCTCCTGGAAGAAGAAAGGGGAGGAGGCGCAGTTGAGGGGCCGCCTGGATTGGCAGGTTCTCCAGCTGGCCTGGGGAACTTGGCGAAGACTCGGACTCCTATCTGGTCTTACCAAAAGTGCTTTTTCAAAAGGCAACTGGACTTGTGGTTTTTTTTTTTCCTTGAAGCCATTTTGCTTCTCATCCAAGATTCTTGAGTAAGAAGCGAAACGTCTTAAAAAAAAAAAAAAAAAAATCCAGCTGCCTTTTGAAAAAGCACTTTTGGGACAACCATGACCAGGAGGACTATGAATCTTTATAGACCTCTGTTTGGTCGTAATTCGCTGCTCCAGAGGAACTTCTCCCGCCGCCACTCGGTTCTTAAGGGCTGCCTTCCTCCTTTAAAGCAGGGAACTCCAAACTTGGCAACTTTAAGACGTGTGGACTTCAAGTCCCAGAATTCCCCATCCTGCCCTAGATGGAGCGGCAAACTTCATAGGCTTCAAAGTGGCACCATTTCGCCCGTGTGGTGTGGTAGTCCCTTTCTTGGAGCTTTCCATTCCTTCACAGAGCGCGCGAAGCTGATAGTTGGAGTTGCAAGACTGAGAAAGTAGGAAGTACAAGGTGTGCATTTCCTTCCTGGAGAACAATAGACAAAGCTTCCAAAGCATCAAATGTTCAAGTACAGGCTGGAGGAAAAGCTAAGCTGGTCTTCAACTCAGCATTCTCAGCTAGCCCTTGCAAATCCCGGGGTTTGATACATCTCTATGGTGCTAAACTGGGGAAAGCGGGGTGGGGGTGGGTTGGGGAGACACTGGCCTGGAATGGGTGGATACATTACAATATTTTTCTGAATGTCCCCCATCACTTCCAACAAAACTCTAGCATTATCTTTTCCATTAGTAAAGACAGTGCTTTGCAACAAAGTCTTAAATCCAAGACACCTTTCTTAAAACTACTAAATTGCAAGGATTTCTGGTTCTAAAAATGTTACATCAGGCAAGATGCATGAATCACACTTTCCTCTTCCAAATTATTTCCCATTTTTCCCAAGGCATAGACCTCCTATATTTAGACTTCAGAACTTTGAATATAAATCCTGTTGGAACACTGTTAGTTTGTTGATCCAACTCTGTTGCTTTTATATAACTTGGCCATTCTCATTTCAACAATTTAATTATCCCTACTTGGCCAACAAATATTGATTTTTTCCCTTCTTAAAAGCCAGAAATGACTCTAGACATTAAGCAAAGTCACTTATTTATATTGTCAACATATAAAATCTTATTTTGGCTTTCTCTTTGATGTGCCAAATATTTTTCAACCACTCTTTTCAAACTGTGGTCTACACTATTGCAGTTATTGCAAGAATGTTTATTGTGATATTTCCATTGGTTGTTTGCTTGTATTTGTTTGTAATTTTATTAGAAACTTATGGTTGAGGTATGAAAAGGATGTTCCCCTAATGAGAAATCAGGTTATTTTGAATTCATAGTAGGTGTTTCTCTCTTTGGTGAATAATAACAATAATCTATAAACTTTACATCCTGCAACATTACCTATAACACGATCAAAGAACATTTGCCTATTCCAGGTCCTTGGAAGGGGCTTAATAGGTGGATTAAAATGCCAAATCCAATCTAAACATCTGGCTGACTCTGCAATGAACCATTTTTAAATTGCCACATCCAGTCTAAACATCTGGCTGACTGTGCAATGAACCATAATTGCAGTACCTGGAGACAGCAAAAGAGAAAAACTGGATAAAAACTACAAAATACAAAGGCCTGCTAATAAAAGGAGAACAACTATAACAAAATGCCATTATAAATAGGCAGCTAGGGTGCAATCCTAAAAAAATGAAGTACCAGTTGAACACCATCAACATTGATGAAATCACTGTCAGACAATTGCAAAAGGCAGTTTTCATTGAAACAGTTTACATCCTATGACGCATTTACTACCATCAAACAGCAACATCTTCCTTTGTAGGTCTTTGGGAAGGCCTCAATAAATGGATAAAATATCAAATCCAGACTAAATATGTAGCTGACTGTTGACCAACCATAATAATGATATAGTAGCTTCTTAAAAAACCATGGGTTTACTAATTCTCCTTGTTCAATTTATTTACTTAATGTTTTTGAATCTCAAGTGGTGCCATCAATTTGAATCTTCTTTTTAAAGAGATCAAGTCCTTTTGTATTGTGTTGGAGAAGGCACTGGAAATAAAATGGAGGCTGATTGGAAAGAAGGACACTGTTAATTGATCAGCAAAACTGACAACAGCATGCAGTTCTGGGACAGTTGACAAAATGGTTGAATGAGTGGATGGATTTTTATAGGTTTCTATGACTCTGAAAGTTTGAACTGTTCCTGGGATTGGGCAATGAAGGCACTTTTGTGTCTTTTGCAATTTCAATGGTGATGGGTTAATCTTATTATATCCTAAAGGTCATGTCATGTCCTGTTCTTAGAATGTGGATGGGTGTGTGTGTAAATTTTAATCCCATCACCTCAAACCTTCTGCACATTTTGTTTATGAATAGACTGGCCCAGTCTTTCTTAATGGGCACACAATATCCATCTCTAATGACTTGAGGCTTCTGCCGGAAGCTGTTGTGGATTCTTTCTGCCTTTGTTAAGAGTTTTTTCCATTTCTCCTTTGAGGAAATATAATATTCTGACTCTTTTAATATTCCCCAAAATATTTCATTGTCCAGGATGGTACAGTGTATTTGGATATATTGTTTTACTAAATTCCATGTTATATTACTCTTAGTTACTGCATTTGAAATGGGTCCTTTCAAAAATCAATCAAGCTGTATTGTCAGTTATCATATATATCGAGTCGAGTTGAGTCGAATTGAATCCCATAGAATAGAATAGAATAGAATAGAATAGAATAGAATAGAATAGAAAGAGCAGAGCAGAACAGAACAGAACAGAACAGAACAGAACAGAATAGAATAGAATAGAATAGAATAGAATTCTTTATTGACCAGGTGTGATTGGACACACAAGGAATTTGTCTTGGTGCGTATGTTCTCAGTGTACATAAAAGAAAAGATACATTCGTCACGACTCAAAAATCATAAGATACAACACTTAATAATAGTCATAGGGTACAATAAGCAATCAAATCATACTAGGAAACAGTCAGTATAAATCATTAGGGTATAAGCAACAAGGCTATGGTCATACAGTCATACGTGGGAGGAGATGGGTGAAAGGAAGGATGAGAGATTAATAGTAATACTAATAGCAGTGCAGACTTAGTAGATAGTTTGACAGTGTTGAGGGAATTACTTGTTTAGCAGAGTGATGGTGTTTGGGGGAAAAACTGCACTTGTGTCTAGTTGTTCTGGTGTGCAGTGCTCTATAGCATTGTTTTGAGGGTCGGAGTTGAAACAGTTTATGTCTGGGATGTGAAGGGTCCGTTTTTTGACTCGTGCAGTATACAGATCCTCAATGGAAGGCAGGTTGGTAGTAAAATGTGGATAGAAGGATAGGGTTATCATGCATACAGAGAACTGTTTAGGGCAGCTTTTCCTCAGTAGAAATCGGCTAGGACAACCCTTTAAGATAAGGCTGCACAGTTTAGCAGAGTTGCTAGATGGAAGCCAGGACAAAGACACATACTTAATTTCTTTCAACGTGTTTTCCATTCAAAATTTGCAGAAAGAGAGAAACTGTTCACATTAATTCTGTTAAATGATCTGAAAAATATAATGAGGAGCCATCCATAATCCATGCAGGTGAAACATTCCTCATCAGTTATGGCAGCAGAATGCAAGGATGCAGAATGACATGTAGGGGCTATTCAGATACTCTTTTGCAGGCATCTGAGAACCATGTGTAATTCATTTGCTGAGAGGTTTTTTTTTCTGACTTGCCTGCTTTGCTGAACTCAGACCTAGAAGGACAAACAATGTCCTTTCTTTTACCTTAGACTCCTACTACAACTTTTTACTGAAGTTTAATACCCATATACTGAATGTGTGTTATAGAAATTATATCATCAATTATGAATCAGATTACCAAAGAAAGAGGACATATATTACTTTATCTAAAGAGACAAAATATATAACATATGCTAATGCTAGAGTCAATAAAGACTTTGTATTTTAAATAAAGATACTTTACATAGATATTTACTCTGACAGAACATGTTTCCTAAGGAATATTGCTTTGGCTGTAATAATTCAAATTTAATGATATGTAGATTACATGTTACCATACCTTTGAAAATAACCCAGAGATTTTCTCTGAAGTACTTCATTTTGTTCATCTAAAATTGCATCAGAAGTCTAGGTATACCTGATCAAATCGTATTTTCCAATAAATTTATAAGAAAACAAAATTTGACACAGTATTAAATGCTACATCTTTCAGCAAAATGATAGCTCATCTGAGAATTCAACTGTTTCATGCAACAGATCATGAAATGGAAACTCTCCTATGTCCATTAGTCAAGCTTTCTGGTTTCTATATCAAGTATTATAGCTGTTAATGCTGTTATTTATATCATGGTTATTTGATAATATTTCCTGTTTGCTTTAAGAACCCATTGGATACCGTTTTTTAAAGTTTTGAATTCATATTGAAGAAAGTAATGTCTTTGCTTAAATTTTATATGGTGGATTTCAGTTTTCATGTTAGGGTATATCTTAACATGCCTATAATT